TTAAAAGTTATTCTTGATTTTGGTGTGACTTTACTTTTCGTGTTCATATTATTTTTTATTATTACAAGATCTTTTCTTTTTTTTACTCCGGGGCATAAAGACGTCTTTATGATTTTCACCGTGATCATACTTGTTCCATTAAATGAAAAGCGTAGGAGTGGAACTACCCGTCCTCACTTCTGTTTATAAGTCGCTCTTTACAATTCAATCGTCAGAGATATCTCTTTATTGTTTTGAAGACAACTTGAATGTAAAAACTTTGTAGTCGACTTGGGGACATAAATTTTCCCCAGGGAAGTTGATTCAATTCAACGGTTCTCTGCCGGGAAAATTTCACGGCTACATGCAATTTAAATTATAAGGATTAAAAAATACTAGACGATATAATTATACTTAGTAATTATACTCTTGAAGTTATATAATTAACTTAAGTAATAAGTGTGTGGGGAGATAAGTATAATCTTCTGATTAGTGTCAATTTCATTATTTGAAACTTCCTTTTTTCTTTTTTTTTAAAGTTAATATCATTATTATTATACAGTTATTATAAGGACACTCATTTGATACCATACGGCTTTCCGCGAGTTGCATTTTGTACAGGCATGTTCAAATATAGTAGGTAATCAATTTTATAATACTATAAAATTTTAGTTCATAACACATATGGTCTTTTTACGAGTAATATAATAAACAGTATATTTATAGAATATACTCACAGGTTTCAATATAGAAGAAATCTGGAAGAAAGTGTGTTCCTCGTAGGCGGGACGTGCACTGAGCCGGAAGCTCACAGGACTTTCTTGTTCAGGGGAGGAAAATGAAAATAATAAACGGCAGGTCAAAGGGTTCGATTGGTAAAGTGGGGAAAAAAGGTGAAGCCCAAGTGCATTGTTCCTTTTTATGCGCGCTAAGGGAAAAGTTGAGGGAGAAATTGGCCGTCACCCCTGGAATAGAATTCTTTTTATAAAATCAACAACTATAACTAGACTGTAACTTTTTTTTTACAATCAAACTTATACCGATGCTTAAAGTTTGTAACGGTGCTTAACACTTTTTATTATTTTGTAACCGCGACTATTTAACTTGAACTTTCTCGGAAAGTTTATTCCGAGTGGTAATAATTGTGTGCTAGTCCTTTTCTGGGCCCTTCTTGGCAAACACGTTTATCGTTATCCGTATATTTAATAGCTAGTCGGAAAACGGATAAACATTTTTATTGTAATTTAAAATTCAACATTAAGGTTTTCAGTTATGGAAGGACTGACATTGTCAACGGTATCTAAATTTTATGATTTAGACAAAACATTCTTTCTTAAACAGTTGCCGTTGAATATAGTCTGTGCATTGAAAACTAAATGCTCTAACAATAAGCCAAAGCATTTTTTTCTAAATTAAAGCAGTACAATTAATTAAGGTTTTTAGTTGAGATGAAAAAAAGCTAATGGCACTAGCGGGATTCGAACCCACGATCTTCGGCTAGATACGCCGCTGCTCTACCACTTGAGCTATCGTGACCTCGATCCACTCGGACATCAACTTCCTATCTNGGTCACGATAGCTCAAGTGGTAGAGCAGCGGCGTATCTAGCCGAAGATCGTGGGTTCGAATCCCGCTCGTGCCATTAGCTTTTTTTCATCTCAACTAAAAACCTTAATTAATTGTAATGATTTAATTGGTCAAGCGGACCACGAAATTAGTGAATTTAAAGCAGTACGATAAACTGTACTAACAAATGAAATAATTATTTCTATCATGTTCCTCTTATTTTTCTTAATTCCTTCTCATAAGTGGGAATACTATTCGGTTCCCATTGAAGCTAGATTATAATTACGATTAATTAAATACAAAATATGCATTCTCCATACAAAATACGTGGAAAATAGTATGATAACTTGAGTTTAAGACTAGTATTATATATCCATCAAATATTTAGTTTCTTGCAAGATCACTGATTATCACTTACCAAAAAAGGTAAATCATATCTGTTTGATACATTTAAAAAAATCAGTGAGGATAGATATAGCATTGTTTACATACAAACTTTTACGAGAATGAGTTGACTTTTACGTTTTGTCAAATATTTGAGTGTAGATACAAATTTGGAGTATTTTGCTGATTTGCGTAGACTCTTTTTCTCTTTAAAGCAATGAAATGTTCATGATATATTAAACTTCAACTAAATCAGTTGATCGCGTTGGATATTGCTTTCTATATTAATAGCACCCTTTTTGACGTATGTTTACCGCTTAGAAGAAATAAGGTGGCCGTGTTTAAGTTTGTTGACACTCCGGTTTTATTTCTGGTACCTAACAGGAACCCACCCCTGGCTTTGAAACAGCTTGCAAGGGAAAAATGGGCCGGCTGGTTGGTTTTTTTACAACTCTTTTGAACCTACGAGAAAATATACTACCGGTCACCTCGCTCTCGCCTGTCCCTATCGATAAAAAGGGTTGTTACGGAATTTTTGTGGAATTCAACCCTTCGACTTTCTCTTTACCTTTTTTTTCTCTTTTCGTTGTTCGAAAGGGTGAAAACCGAACTGGAGGCCCAAGAGAAAGTCGACGTCGATATTTTTTAAACGGCCGATTTCGTTATTCAGGTACAGTTCAACTCAGCCTGGCACATATCCATTTCCTCTGCCTTCAAAGGGTATCACAACAATATCACTTTAGTTTCTCTTGGAATTTTTTAATGACAAGTGGAATGCTACAATTAAAACCAAGAAAATCTATTTATAGTTCATTTAAAGCAAGAAAATAGAGATTTACACCTATTTTTAACCATTCTAATTCTTTTGATTCAAAATGATATATAAAATTAATTTCCTAAGTATTCTGACATATTCCATGTTTAGTAAGTCTTGCACAGCTGTTTTCATTACTTAGATTTAAAAGTACATACAGATCTTAATTATTCCAAGTGCATTTTAATAAAGAATAGAAATTAGACTAGACGGTAGAAGTAACGACTAGAAAAAAAGTCGATCGCGTTGCTTCCTTATTATTACATTATTCTAAGAAAGAAATTAAGAATATTAAAACAATGAAGTTTAACAATCAAATTTATTAACCAACTCGTTCAACAGAAAATACAACACTATCAATCCTTAAATTGTTCTTCATATTTCCAGAGAACGGCTTGTTAAAGTGGACGTTTATTTCTAGAACTAGCTGGCAACCCGGCTTCGTTCCGATCTGGCACCAGCCCATCAACATGCCAGTTAAAAGTGAAATTTTTTGGAACGTTGAACCGAATTTATTGCATCAGAAAAACAGGGTGGGATACGAATACAAAATGGCTTAAGGAATTCCTATGTTTTCACCACGGCACCGTCGCGGAAAATATAATTAGAATATAATTTCCGTTCAGAAAATATAATTAGAAAACGTTTTCGAAGATGAAACTATAGATTGAAGTTATAAATAAGAGATCAGGGATAAGGCAAATTTGAAAAAAAAAGAAAACAGTTCATTCGTCATGCTTTGGAGGAATATGTCCCCTTCATCAGGACTTTGAAACTATTTCTAACGATTTAAACGCTAAACAAATATAAACATCTACTAAATTCACTAGTTTCGTGGTCCGCTTGACCAATTAATATCTTTCAATTAATTAAGATTTTTTTACTTGAGATAACATTTGAAAAATGGCAAAAAGGAGGGAAAATTAAAAAGGTGGGATTTAGATGGGAAGTTAGTGACCGAGTGGATCGAGGTCGCGTTAGCTCAAGTGGTAAAGCAGCGGCTTATCTAGCCGAAGATCGTGAGTTCGAATCCCGCTCGTGACACTGACTTTTTTAATTTATGAGTTGTGCTTAGTAGAGTGGACGAGATCTATCACATGCCCATTCTGTATAACACTTATTGTCCAAGAGGCATTCTTTTTACTTTCATTCAATGCGCATTATTCCTGATCTTTTATTTGTAATTATAATATTAAGTCTAACATCAACTACATGACGATAATGTATTGGTATAAATTGGTAATTGCATGTATTATGTTGTAGTATCAAGTACTATTATGTAGTATAATATAGTACTATTATGTAGTATCAAGTATTTACACGGATTTTATTAACTCTTTGATTCGCTCTGTATGTTTTCTCTAGTGTTTTTTTATTTGTATCATACCTATGTGATAAATTGCGATGAATCGAGTGTGACTCAGAGCGGAATACAGTTGATCATTTCATTTAAGAATCATGTTGTTAAATTAACTGCTGAATTAGATTTAATCTATGTACATATCAGTTGAATGATTGCCTCGCGATTTGAGAGTAGGTTTTCTAGCCTGCCACTGAGGATAACGACATAATGAAAAGCTTATTGACAATATGCTGAGAATACACGGTCCAGGATGACCAGAGACGACAAAACAACTAACAAAACTGTTTGTAAAACAGTTATAAAAAATCAATAGCTTTATATTTTAATGGGTGTTGTGGGATTGTCTACGATTGAATGGACTCGAGTAGGATCTTGCCGATTTGGTCACTTCACTTGGTCTATCCACTCTCGCTGGTTTACCTAGGTAGCCTTTTTTCTTCAATGTTTGTTGTAATTGTTGGAGCTTAGGGGAACTGTTTTTACTTTATGAATCTTGTGTTAATTCTGCGATATTGTGTCTGTGATGTTGGTTTGCATCTGTCTGAAGTGCAGTTTTGTTGAATTCGAAGCCAATTTTATTGTTTAGTCTTGTCGGTGGTAGGCCTAAACAATAAACCAGCGAAAAATGACGGACTCTATAACATGATTCTATAACTCTATGACATTATTTGTGTTGTTCAGCAACGTTTTGTTTAATTGATTATACATATTTCGAATAAAACACATAGAATAATAAAAATTATACCGATAAGCTGAAATTGTGATTTTTTGTTGTAAATAAATAATACAGGTTTGTTTTCCATCTTAAAACTGCTCCACATTATCGCAGAGAGAGGATAATTAATATAGTTTTTAATCAGATGTGTTTTAATTGTAAACATTTTGCTTCTCCAGGTATGCTGCCGGGACCGAACGGCTGTCCGAGGAGGCGAGGGCGGCAGACGTACACCCGCTTCCAGACGCTGGAACTGGAGAAGGAATTCCACTTCAACCACTACCTGACGAGGCGGCGGAGGATAGAGATCGCCCACGCCCTCTGCCTCACCGAGAGGCAGATCAAGATCTGGTTCCAGAATCGTAGGATGAAGTTGAAAAAGGAACTGCGAGCGGTGAAAGAGATCAACGAACAGGCGAGGCGGGAGCGCGAAGAACAGGACAGGATGAACAAGGAGAAACAGGCAAAAATCGGGTCGGAGAGCGGCGGCGGCCAGCACCACCAGATCCATGACCCCCATAAAATGATGGGCGGCCTGGACAAATCTTCCGGCCAGGATCTCCTCAAAGCTGTCGTCACAAAAGTGCCGACATAGGCTTCAGATTCCTCCGTGGGGCAGCCCTTTGAAGAACAGACTTTATTCCCGACCCGATCCCCTGCCCCGTGAAACATTTTTCTCCTCCCAGAAACGACTTTTCTTTGAACGATATATTTTTGTTTTTTTAATCTTATTAATGAAATAATATTGTATTCGACTTTTTAAAAGGTGTTTGAAAAACACCTTGGAACTCAGATACGTATACGAATGCAATAATTACCCAATTGAAATTTAATCAAAGGAAATATATTTTGGGAGAGAAAATCAATCCTGTGACATCCCCCATTTCGAAACGTCATCGTACTTAGGTTTTTTGAGAATGGAAACAATTGTGTTTTGTAGTAGGAGTATAAAATAATGTTGTACGGGGAGCCGACAACGAAAGAAATACGTAATCTTTAACTGCTTTAGAAAAGTAGGTTAAATAAACGTCTATAGTTTTCATAACTTGTAATATTTATACATCTATACTTAAATTACTTTATTATTTTTTATTATTTTTTACTTAAGCTTTAATTCGGTATGTGAGTAGTACTGAGAACTGTCTGCGTGGTGTGACCGTGGACTCTAACTGTTATTGTGAATTGTGTTTTTGTTTTGAAATAAGGTACTTTTCTCTTATTTTCTTTTCGAAGAGTAAATAGAGTTTGAAATAAAAAAAGAGATGTGCTGTGTTCATAAGTTATAATACAAAAATATATAAATATAAAAAGATATGTAGTTAAATAATTTCTCTTTTCGAATCTCTTATTACTTTGCAGTAAGTGTTGACTTAAAAAAAAAGTTTTTTGTTGGCTGTTATTAAATAATAACAATTATATTCTTTAAGTTTGACTTGAAACGACAAATTTCAGCTGTTTTTGTTATCTGTGGTTTTTGTTTTATATTGTAGAAGAAAGAGATTAAAAAATCGTTTATTTGAATTTCGTTCATATTATTTAGTTATTTTTACATTTTTTGAAGAAGAAAAGAACCGTTTTACGTTTTAGCCAATTAGTTGTTAGTTACCTCGAACGAGGCAAAATAGAATTGTTTTTCTAATAGATGAAAAATAAAATGTGAACTTGATTTCATAAATGTGCCAATTTTCTACATAGTGGATATTTTCAAAGATATTAATTTTTATGAACCTTTTTTGTTCCATTGATATTTTTGAATATAAAAAAAACGAGAAGTGCAATGTCTTAACCATGTACATGTAAAATATATACATATATACATGTATATGTGTATATATTTATATATATAAAGTGTGTTTCAACCTGTCTATATGAGTATATATATTAAAATAAAGTATATAATATTTAGTAATATTAAGGCTTTCAGATGAAATGCAATGAAGATGATGTTTGTATTATTATGTCTATAAATATTTAAAAAAAGAAGATATATTTAAAATAAAATTGAAAATCCAATTATACGTAATTACTGGTGTCAGGGTAGGTGAGAGAAGATTTTGTAAAGTATTTTTTCGTCTCATCAATATTAGTATTTACGCCTCATAGAACCTGACGTTCCTGTATGAAAAATCTCGTTAAAAAAATATTCATTTCGTTAAAATTTGTAATGAGAAATTATAAAGGTACGTTTTTCTCAACTACCCAGTACACGACCCGCCTGCCATTAGAGAGAAAGAAAAAAAAAAAGAGTTTTTAAGTTATTTGAAAAGTAAAAATAAAACAATCCAATCAATATATACGTAATGAAAAATGCAATTAAAATGTAAAACGAAATCTAGTTTAATAACAATTGCCATATAACTTATTATATATTAGAATTTTTCTAGGTGATATAATTAAATGATCACATAATTAATGTAAATAGGATATTTTAAATTTTATAACAAACAAAAAACTTCTCAAAATCGAATTGAACTTCTCTTAGGTGTAAAAGGAGGAAAGCCAAACCGCACCTCTTATTTTGTAAATAGGCTTGAGTCAAAATTAGTTTTAAAAAAGTAAAAAAAAAAAAAAAAAAAAAGAATGAATGCCAGTCTACCACATTTGTTGCAGTAGTGGTCGCCTATAGTTGCGCATACGTCCAAATCCCCCTCGTCACTTTTAATTTCCTGGTAATGTTACTATATCTCTGGTATGATTGCATTAGCTTGTCATAATTTGTTTCAAAAAGAATAATTTGGAATTTTTGTAATACCAATTTACATTTTTACAAAACATGTCAAGGCACAAGTATTGTCCAAAGTTGTTTTACAATTGATTGTATTGGGAGTAAATATTATAAAAAATTGTTTTACTGTCGTACGTCTAATATTAATAATAATAATAATAATACATTTTTTAGAAGATGTAGCTACACTCTTTTCTGTGTAAATAAAGGTAAATAAATAATGTCTAAACCCGTTCCTTTCACCAGATATTTATTCTTACACCTTTTACCATTAAGTAATAAAACAATATGTTTTAACATAATTACTTCTTGGAATGGTTTTAATGACTAACCAGAGTGAATGGGTTCAATTCTTTTAATTTTGTATATTCTACATGTTTATTTTGGTGTTGTATGTATAGTATAATAAATCTTTATGTGTTTTCATTAAAAAAAAGCTCAAATAAAATTATTCATCGATTAAATACTTTATCCACACTATTCTAAGACATTACAAGAAAAACACGTAATACTGATGTAATTGTGGCTATTATACAATTTTGAAAAATAGTGAACGCAATCATTAGTGACAAATCCGGAAAATATGATGAACTGGAGCAAAAATGTTTGAAATTATATTCTGTCCATACTCTTAGCTATGATATGATACAGAGAGCATCACTGTCTGCGAATGTTAAGGTTAAAAGGAGTGCCTCTTTACGATCTAATTCACAGCGAATTGTGCAGTATCAATTATTACCTAGAGTTCGTTAAGCTTAAGAGTTTATCAGGTACCAAAGCTTTGTTTAAGGCTCACGCATGTGAGCACCTTCAAACATTCAGATCCCTATCTATACATACATACTATCTATACATGCCTCTACACCAAGAGGATCTTCCGCTGTGTTCTGGAGGGACATCTTCTTCCTGCCAATATCTGCACCGGCTTGTTTCTGCTACTCCACTTTGTCACATGCTTCTTTCCTAGGTGATCCACAAACATCCATTCCAATCGATCCTACCAATTATCTGATGTATCGATGTGGCAATTTAGTAAACTGAAAAAGGGTTCACGGCCGAAAGGTGTCCTGATTAAAGTTTCGTTGAGGGCCCTGTGTGTCCTGGTCCCAAACAAGGGTAATTTAGTTGGTGTTCCCTATGTCTGACAAGGTCTTGATACGATCCCAAAGTGTTCGGGACTTTACTATCTATGATATCCTTTAGTGCCCCTTGGATGTTCGAATAAAATGGCTATTCTTTTCTTGGTAATCAGTGTCCAGTCAGCAGTCGAACATCATTCTAGTCTTTACAGGTGCTAGGTTTGATAGTTCTGCCTCTGACCTGTAATACAATGTCATTGAACCGAAGATTTATTCCTAACCCATAGTCCTGTCCCATGTACTTTTTTTGCACTTTACCGCAAAAGAGTTCAAAGGTAATATGTGTCCTTAACGAGCTTTTCTTGGTTTATTTATCGGCCTCCTCGTTGCCTCTTTGAACCCTGGTACACAAACAAGAGTAATTTTTTGTCGTGCCCATGTCTTACAGGATCTTGGTGAAATCCCAAACCACTCTCAACTACCGATAAGGTTGACTGTTCGGCTGTCGGAGTGGTTGGTTATTATGCTGGTAATACCAAGCCTTTTCACTCCTGACACAATGTTTAATAGTCACAATCTCCGTCTGATAAAAGGGTGTCACTTTACCCCCGACTGTGATACAATGCAATGGTAATATTTTCAATTATATTAAATTTTGTGTGAATGTATGATGTAACCCAGTCCATAGTAACTATGGTCAGTGAAATACTTTGGGTGTTTTACGTCTTGTTGAAATACTTTTTTTTTGTGGAAAACTTAGTCAACCTCAAACTAACTTTAAAGTTAAGGGAAATTGTTGTGTTTCAAAAGGAAGGTTGGAATAGACAGTGAATCAATGCTTACTAAGATGACCTGAGAAATCACCAATACAGCAGGTTATTAGCTGGAACTATTAAAAACCAATATTTATAACATTTTCTGGCCATTAAAATATTAACAATATAACTTAGAAATAACCGTAATGAATTAACCATTTTTAATTGTTTGTTAAGATTTGAAGACTACATTATTTCTTAGGAAACGAAGTGAGAAAAATCTGTATAAAAGTTACATTTTATTGCCTTTTTATACCAAATGAGCTCATTAAAATAAAGGGATGTATTTAGAGAAGAGCTCGTTAGGGAAATTTCATGTGATACTATAAAATATTGCATTGGGAGAGATCGAACGATACGGAATTATCTGTATGCCATGTTTTTAAATTCGTGCATTTGTTTTTTGTCCCCTTGCTATCCAATTTAATTTAAACCACTGGTGTTTCTTTTAACTTTTTTTACGGTAACTAAATTCAGCCCAGTTTCGAAATGCGATCTTTCCCATAAAGAAGGCCACCTGTTTCGGCTGAACCGAGTTATCTCTGAGTATTGATCAGTTACTCTTTCCGATTCATGGCCAGATGCGTTGTCGCCATAGCCCAATGGTGAAGGAATTTATGCTTGACGACAAACATTGTTTTGCAACGAAATTTAAAATATGGCCACATCCGTTTTAGGATCAGAATAATTATTAAACATTGACCAGTAATATATGCTTTTTATGCATACTCAGCGTAGACATCTAGAGAAAATGTTTCTTTTAACCATTAATGTCTTTAGTTAAATAAAATCTTCTCGCTAGAATTGATGAGTTTTACGCGTAAAGTTAACTAAAATCATTGCTGCTAATGATACATAACATGTAACATGTAAGAATAACATCGTAGATTTTACTCGATCTTTCTACATTAAAATTAGTCTTATTCAATTTTCGCACAAGTTTAATTGTTAGAATTAAGTGATAATTAATGAAATGAGGGATAGAAAAAATCATAGCATAAAACATTTACTTAATACTTACTAAATTCTAAGGGTACACCGGAGAGTAGCCGTTAGTAACATTTTCTTTTTGAATATTCCATTTATCTTTAATAATTGTCGCTTTTTCCTTATAAATAAATTTAATAGCCGCTTTTAAATTAAATCACTTGCTCAAATAAAATTAATATCCTGGGAGATAAGACGAAGTCATTTCATAGCTAATTCAGTCATAATTTCAACTATTTCAGTTAATTTAAAAAAAAAGAAATTACTTATTGTGAAGTTTTTTGTTTAATTTACCGTTCTAATTCATTTGGTAATGGTTTTTCTCATCGCCTATGACTAAAAATTTCTATTGCGGTCCGCCTGTCCTCGCTGCCGCACTTATTGCGAGAACGGGCTGACCACCCATACGGCCCATTTTTTATCGAACTGTCCCTAACAATTAATCAAAACCCAACGGTGTCAAATATTTTTTATGCTACAGACATGTTTTCTACAAATTGGAACCTGTAACACAACCTGTTGGCTGGGTTCCCTTTTCCAGAGAAGGAGAGAAAAGGAATTCCGTGACATGATTTTTTTTCCGAATCAAGGTAGTTCGCCCTGAATTATTTTGTAAGTTATTCTACAAATAAATTTCAATTTTGAAACCA